CAAGAATATACAAAAACCTTTAGATTAAAGCAGAGAAAATTAGCAAGGCAATATATGAATAGAAACTGTAATCAAGTCATCCATTAATAAGCTCCATCTTAAGTCCCTATGATCCTCATATACGGCTCCCTAGCTTCTCAAAGTCCCGTTTTTTTTGTCCATTGGATATTTTTCTATAGATTTTGACCTCTAATGGGACTTTCACCTAAAACAGTTCAGATAGACACCTAATAACATCCTTCCAAAACTCCTGGATTTTACGACATTCCCACAGACAATGGAAAAGGGTTCCTTTTTTAAATAAACATTTAGTGCGAGTATCTGGGATATCACTAGACCGCGCACAGCTTTTAAATTTGGACTTTGATGGTTCCCATTGACCTGTTTTAGTTTTCCTCTTCACATCAAACACAGATTTAAGGTTACTTAAAGCCTGGCTTTCTGCATGGTAGGGAATATCCGAGGATTCTTGGAGAATTTGGAGCAATATCCTACCGGGATCTGCGGGTTTCTGTAGCTCTTTGTTTCTTTTAATGATTAACTCTTAAGATATCCACATAGCTAATCTCCTCAGGGCGCCTCTTCTTCATAACGAGGCTTAACTTTGATTTCCTGATGCATTTTGCCTCATGCAGAATGAACAAACAGGCTGTTATAGACACCTGAATTCAGCGTTTTTAGCAGTTTCAGGGTTCAAAGCTCTTTAGTTTCTGCTGTTGCTGGAAAAATAGTTAGATTGATAAATAATTCTGTAGCCAATTATGATAACTTTGTCTTTGTTTGAGAGAGTTTTCTGTCATCTCATTGATTCAGAGCTGGTTAAGTTGCCCTTACAGCTCATTAAGTGCATTTTGGGGGCAAAAAACACTTTTATACTTTCATCCCCTTTAGTTGGAGTCCTTTTTTCTATTTTATTGTTTTTCTAGTGATCTTTTTGTCTGACTGAAGCCTCTTGAGGGCATGATCTGTAATTTTAAGAATTGTGACCATTTCGTAAAGTGATCAAGAATTAACTGCAAATGAATGACAGTTTCTTCTTTTTCATGTTCTTCTTCTTCATTTTTCTGAAAATACTCATGAAGTTAATGTCAATCTGCTGTAAAATGAGCAGGTTTATTGTTTATTTATTATCTGGTTAAAGCCTGACCCATCTTGTCCTGGACTTTTCGGCCACAGAGAGAAGTGAACTCACTTTCTCACACAAACACAGACGTGACCCTTCGGCTCTTCTCTCCGTGACCTTTGACCCCGAGGTGTTTGTCAGGCAGCCTGATGGGCGGATCTGAAAGTCTGGGTCATCTCTTCTGTAGGTTTCTCTCTCTGGCAGTTTCATAGTTTATCTATTTATGTTTGGGATTGTTTTTGTAGCATTCTTTAGTTGAGTGAAAGTGACAAAAAATAAACTGGACTTTTTGTGTTGCTGTCGCAAAGAGTCAAATTTAAACACATAATTTGGACCGTTTAATTCTGAATCTGGGTGACAAAAACTCAAAAATCACAACGAGGACCAAAAAAGAAATGAACGTTTTGTATGCAGTGCAGGATTTTTAAGCATAATGTCCGATTTTATTTGAGTTTTTTAATCTCCTTTTCGTTTAAGCTTTACAGCTTTAGATAGTTGTGACCAGATACTTTAGTCTGTCCCAAAATGAACTCCTTTTTGTCTTTGAAAGCTCATTGAGCTCCTTTAACAGATTCTTATCTCTGCTATGTCGACTTCTCTCCCGTTTTACCCCAAATTCAGACTAAAACCGAGTCCTGGAATAATCCTTGATGGCACTTTTTGAGTCTTAGTTGTGAGCAAATTCTCCTCCTTTCACACGTGTGACATTTATCCCCTCAGAAGGAGCGTTACGTAACTTTTTCTATGACATTATGTCACAGCGGATGGTATCTGCAAAGAAATGTGCCCCCTCGTTTATTAGCGTCCAGCGGACTGATAGCAGCTATCTGCAGAGCTGGCCTACTTTGTGTGGGTCATAAATAGTCCTGTCTCACAAGCACACAAGTTTATTCTTCATTTTTTCCTGCTTTCAGAGGTCTGCTCAGGGCTTTTTCCCCCTCATATCTACAATCCGGTTTCTAGTTTTCCACTGAATTGCTTCATTTACTCACCTTAGATGTAGAGATGTGTGTTAAACTGGGATTAGTTTAAGCTATTTTCTGTGATATCATTAAAACTGATGCTCCCAGGTTGTGTAAAGTTGAGATTTGGTGGTGGTTTTCTTGTCTGTTTGAAAGCCAGTGAGCCTCTGTTAGGTGGAGCTTTTCTCTCGAGTTGTAAATATTTTAGGACGTGACTCAACTTCCAAGAGATGCTAGCTTGCTTTTTAGTGTTTTCAGACTGAAACATCTTCAAAAATGGCACGCTGAGTTGGCAGACTGAGGTCAGCCGGTTTCAGATCGGGGCTCCATCTGCACTTCGGGGCGTTTTAATGAACTAATTCTGCTGCAGCTTTTGACATGCAAGCTTAAGATTTCATTAGTTCTCATTAAAAAACCGCAGAGCTTGCGTCCTTAAACTGTTTCAGGCCTTTTAGTTCTTAGATTGGGCAGATCCAGCCTTTTTAAGTGAACATTAGATCTCATTTCTTCTCTGATTTGAGATATAAATCAGAGAATAATCCCTTTATATGTGTACTTTATATGTAACTGCCACATTCCTTTGATCTTACTTCAAAACAGCAGCTCAGATCAGAGGTTTTCTTCCCGGTTGGACTTGAACTATCCCAGTTTGCACTTGGCCCTTCCCCGGTGGCGAGCAGGTAGCTATTGTTGTTCGGGCCTCGGCCGGGCTTTTGTTTGAACCCACCAGCGTTTCCACGGTTACGGTTACCAACGGTTACGCAAACGCCAGCCCCCTCTGATGACCCACATTCCAGCAGTAAATCACAACACACACACACACACACACACACACACACACACACATTCCCGACTCCACCCCGGCTGCCTGTCGAAACTGTGCCGCTGCTTCCACTCTGCTCCGAATCGTCAGTTTAGAGTTTAGAACGAGTCAAACGTCCTGAGAAAGTTTGATTTTAACCCCCCTGCGGGCCTGAAAGAGACTTTCTTTTGACTTCTTTGAAGAAACATCTGTAAAATATATAAAATATAATATCAATATATATATATAATGTGTGTGTATGTATATATATATGCGTATATATATGTGTGTATGTATATATAAGTGTATATACGTGTGTGTGTATGTATACATATGTGTATATATGTGTGTGTGTGTGTATGTATATATATGTGTATATATGTATATATAAGTGGATATATATGTGTGTATGTGTATATATGTATGTATGTGTGTGTATATATATGTGTGTGTGTGTGTGTGTATATGTATGTGTATATATACATATATGTGTATATATATATATATATATTTTTTTTTTATTGTATAAAGTTGTATTGTATCGGTTTTATGGGGCCAATCAAGAGAAAATGGGGAATTTAATTTCCTCCTCAGATTTTGGTCAGATATCGTGACTTCTTAGTTTTGCTGGTCCTACAGCTTTTAGTCGGGTAACACTTGTTTATCACTTGGTGAACCTGCTTGTTGGACTTGCTTTATGTGTTATTATGTCCGATTCAGTCCCGGTTCTTTATGCTATTGTGTAGCTGAACAACTGTTAATGTGTTGTGTTGACACACCGGACGCCTTTTCATCATGTTCCTCTGTGCACTATTGTGTGGTTCAGTAACTCACTTATCTGGATTAAACGTCCGCTTCTAAATAATTGTGACTTCTATCTGGGAAATCTGGTATTTTTACATTCATCTGGATGACAGTCGGATGTTGCTGTGATGCCTTTAAATGAGTTTGCGTCCTTCAGAACTGGATGAATCCTTATAAATTTTTGATAAAGGTCACATCTGTGGTGGATTTAGGACTTTCTTACAGTTCAGGAGTACTTTTTTCTAAAACCCTGGATGCTCCCTGGTCTTATTTGTCATAATTAAAGATAAGTTATTGTGATAGGTTCTCAGAGGACGGTTTTCTGGAGTTCAGTGATTGTCTTCAGCTGGTTTAGCTGCCGTTTGTCTGCAGGTAAACTCTGTAAAAACATGAACTGGCATCCAGCAGTTCAACATCTGGGCTGCAGACGCTCCCTCTCAGCTCTGTAATTCCCCTCCCACCAGTTTAAAGCCAATCTGCAGAGTTCTGATGTGTTTTCAATGGTGTGTAGGGTTGTCAAAAGTATTGATACCCAAAAAAGTATAGATACTGAAATTTTGTATCCGTATACGATACTCATTTTCAAAAGTATCGATACCACCCATGTTCTCTCTGATTTATTTATGTATTAATTTACGTTGTTTATGATCATTAACGTGACGTTAGCCTTGAATTGCTAGCTGCAGCTAATGGCTAATAATAACATGATACCATTAATCAAGCACATATCCAACTCCGCCCACATCCAAGTCGGCCATTTTGATTATGTCACCAATAGGAAGATCCCAGGCGAGAAAATCCTAATTGCTTCATGGCAATATAGACATTATTTTAAAAATGGTGTAATTATTCTTTCAAACACTTAATTAAATTCTATACATATTATTATGATAAAATAGTGTATGTTAAATAGCCAAAAAATAACCAAAAAATATTTATTTCTCACAATTATGAAGGGTGGAGGGTTAGGGTTAGGGTTAGGATCCTTAATGTGGGCCACCATATCATCAGTAACAGATCAGTTTGAAACCAAAGACACTAACCTGTCAAAATTTAGTTACATTTTGGGGTGTTTGTTTTTATCTTTGTGGTATCGAAAATGCTATAGAGTATCGAGTATTTTTCCTGAGTATCGGTATCCAGTTGACAATGTTAGTATCGTGACAACCCTATTGGTGTGAGTGTTAGAAAAAGTGTTTCCCGCGATGGCCCTGCGCTGCCTTTTATAAAAAAACAAAGATTATTGTCGGTTTTCTATTGTTTTATGAGGAGATGACTGACCCCCTGCCTCCCTCTGTTTCCCCTAAAGGACCTGGAGTTCCACGGCGTGATGCGGTTCTACTTCCAGGACCGGGTCGCCGGCAACTTTGCCACGAAGTGCATCAGAGTCTCCAGCACGGCGACCACGCAGGACGTCATCGAGACGCTCGCCGAGAAGTTCAGGCCGGACATGAGGATGCTCTCCTCGCCCAAATACTCGCTGTACGAGGTGCACGTCAGCGGCGGTGAGTCACTCTCTCCTCCTTTTAGAGGGCTTTTCCAGCCATCAGCCAGCTCTGGAAGTAGGGTTGTCAAAAGTATCGATACTCAAAAAAGTATTGAAACTAAAACGTTGTGTCTGGATATGACACTCATTTTTAAAAGTATCGATACCCCCTCTTCTCTCTGATTTATTCATTTACTCATTTACGTTGTTTATGATCATTAACGTGACGTTATCCTTCAATTACTAGCTGCGGCTAACGGCTAATAATAACACGCCAACATTAATCAACTACGTCTATCCAACTCCCCCACATCCAAGTCGGCCATTTTGATTAGGTCACTAATAGGAAGATCCCATGCAAGAAAATCCTAATTGCTTCATGACAATATAGACATTCATTTAAAAATTGTGAAATTAATCTTGCAAAAACTGAATGAAACTCTATACATAATATTATGTTAAAATGGTATATGTTAAATAGGTTTGTACAATAAGTCCAAACAAGTTTAACCAAAAAATATTTATTTGTCACAATTATGAAGGTTGGAGGGTCAGTGTTAGGGTTAGGTTTAGGGTTGGGTTTAGGGTTAGGGTTAGGGTTAGGGTCATTAATGTGGGCCACCGGCCACCTTAACATCAGTAACAGGTCAGTTTGAAATGAAAGACACTAACTTGTCAAAATTCAGTTAAATTACTTCTTGAATAATTTCCTGAGTATCGGTATCGAGTTGTCGTGACAACCCTACCTGGAAGTGAACTGGCGTCTCTGTCTGTGTGTTAGAAGAGCGTCAGCTGGATCTGGACGAGAAGCCCCTCGTTGTTCAGCTGAACTGGAACAAGGACGACAGAGAGGGCCGCTTCGTCCTGAAGAACGAGAACGACATCCTGCCAAAGGTCAGTCACTAGGGATGTCCCGATCCAGCTTTTTGCTCTTCCGATCAGATCCGATCACGGCCTATCAGAGCATGTGTTAAAGTTTAAAGTTATTTATCTACTTACTTAGTTGTCAGACTCATGTTGAACAGGGATTTACTCTGATAACAACTTAATGGTTAGGACACAGACCTGTGGGTTGGGAGATGCTAATGCTAATGCTAATGCTTGTGTGGGATCGGACTTTGAAATAAAACTGGATCTGGAGTCTGGATCTGCAAATTCATCGGCAGCCGATCCGATCCAAATATCGGATCGGGACAAGCCAAGTTCAGACCACGTTAGGTTGAGGTCTCGTCGATTTGTTGAGCAGACCTTCTGTCGTTCTGCCAGAATGGAACAAATCCTGTTAGAGGAGGGAGAGAAAAGCTGGTTCAGCCATCTAAAAGTCATCTTGGCATCCCAGGCCTGAGGAGTTAACACACTGAAGGTTTAACGGGCTGTCGGACACATCAGATCATGACATCAATGAAAGGAAAACATGCAATTTAGTGAAATTTATTTAGGATCGATAAAGTTTATCTATCTGTCTGTAATAACAATTTACCAAAAATATCAGTGTTTGACCCCAAAAGTCTATTTTCAGTCAGTTAAACTGATTCATACAAATGGAGCATCAAATAAAAAAAAAACTTTTCATCCATTTTTGTGGTTAATTTATCTAATTGGACTCATTTCCTCCTTTTCTTCAAGAAGAGTCAGAGTAACGGGCCGGAAAAGGAGAAGGATGGAGTGATTCAGAACTTCAAGAGGACTCTGTCGAAAAAGGAGAAGAAGAAGGAAAAGAAGAGGGAGAAGGAGTATCCTCGGATTCCTGACGGAGACGAGCAGACGCTGGGCCGAGAGGACGGGTCAGTCGGCCATCCGCCCCTCAGTTTTCTGAGTCCTTCCCCAGGATTCAGTTTGCCAAGAGAAGCACAGAGAGTCCACAACTTTCACCTCTTTTATGTCTCTGTGTTTTTCCCCTTTATTCTTTCTTCTTTACACATCTCTGTGTCTCGTCTGGATCTAGTGAAAACAATCGTCTGGCAGCAGAGGTCTACAAAGACATGCCGGAGACCAGCTTCACCCGGACCATCTCCAACCCGGAGGTGGTGATGAAGAGGAGACGCCAGCAGAAACTGGAGAAGCGCATGCAGGAGTTCATGAGCAGCGATGGAAGGCCCGACTCAGGTAGTTCTGGTGCCATTTTTCCTCTCAGGATCATAGATGGAGAATCCTTTCCAAAAACCAAACCGGAGATTTCACCATAAACCTCTGAGGCCGAGGGTTCATTTTTCTGTCGTAGGAAGGGGGAAGACTGGCTCATCCCTTGAGTTTGCGGGCTCTATTAATGATTGAATTACCGTATTTTCTTCACTATAAGGCGCACCTGATTATAAGGCGCACCTTCAATGAACGGTCTATGTCAAAATTGTTTCCACATATAAGGTGCACTGCATTATAAGGCACATAGAATAAAGGCTCCAGTAGAGGCTGGGGCTGCGTTAGCATCCACCAGATGCAGCTAAGCTAAAGAGAATGCCAACAAAACAGTCCGATAATCAGTCAGACTTTATTAATAGAACATAAACCAGCGTCTTGACGACTCCGTTCACCCCCAAAATGAATAAACAGCTGTTTTATTATTATTATTATTCCCGAGGTAATGTCCTCCATTCAGTAAACACGTAAAAGAAACGGCCTGATGCCGTTACGGTAAATCAAACCTTAGCAATTCACAATATATAGCAGCTAGCATAAAGCTGACTAGCTTTTCTCGTAAAAAAAACAAAACCGCCAGTATAGAAATATTTGAACTACCTTTTGTCGTAGTTAGGATCAGATTCAACGTTTACCTTTAATTTCCACTTTTTTTTTTAACAGCGGCTGCTTCCTGTAGTTGTAAAACCTGATGCGACTCAGTCCTGATCCATATTTATGGCGCACTGTCTGTTTTTGAGAAAATTGAAGGCTTTTAGGCGCCTTATAGTGCGGAAAATGCGGTATTCGTAGGTCAGACTGGTTTGCGCGCTCTGACAGGCGCGTGCACGTGTTGAAGGATCGCTGACGGGTCGTTTGTGTGACTCAGCTGTGACCTCATCACTCTGCCAGACAGGCAGAAGGACCCGGGAACCAGCTCTAAAAACAGCTCTGACCACCATCCACACATGGCCGCCGGGTCTGGGACGGCTTGTGGTCACACGGTGACGTCTTCCCAGCAGAAAGTGCTCTTTAAAAAAGAAAAAAAACAAAAGAAAAAAAGAAGGTTGTTTGTTTAGCTGTGGGTGGATTTCAGTCGACGCGTCACCGTTCCAGTCTGCTGTCCCTAAGTTGGTGTATTAGTTACATTTAATGAGCATCATTCCTCTTTCTGCCCGCCATATTTACTTTAAAGCTTCCACTGTAGCAGACGGCGTCCCGTTTGCGTCGCTCTGACTCAGTGAATTCACTTTTACTGTCGGTGGAACCACATCTGGACGGGGGGAAATAAGGCCCGTTTGATCCACGTCTCAGAGCTCGTTGGTCTTGTTGCTTGTAAACACAGCTGCTTCTTTTTAAGGTATAATTATTTATGATTCCACAAACGTTTTAAAAATACAATACTTTTTATTTAAAAAAATATTTATTATATAATAAATAGGAAACCATAAAAATGGAAAAATGACTAGTTAAAATGGTATTAAATGCTACCAAATATGAATACAAAATCATACAGTGTGAAGTCGAGAAGATACTTAATTTTTAACCATGTTCCTATTTGTTATTTTTTAACTTTTAGCAGTTACGTTTTTCATTACATTGTATTATTTAAGGTATAAGTTATTTATTTAGATTAATTTAATTATTTCGTCAGATCTTTAATGAATATTTATGTCAGTTTTTGTTCCTTCTTTCTGGTTTCTCTGATCTTTTTCTTTCTCACTTTCTCCCCAACAAAAAAGGGGAAAAAAATAAGCTTTTGGGGAATAAATAGGACAACAAAAATCCAGAAAGACCTGAAAGAGTGAAGAAAAGTCTTGGAAGCTTCAAGTCTTTATTAATGAGGCTGAAATGATTCTATTATTTAAAAAACAACAACAAAAAACTCTCCATTTGGGTCCAGTTAAGCTCGGTAGTCGCCCTGTTTCACACGGACCGTTTTTACTGTGACACCAGGTCTGTTCCAGTTCAGAAGCAGGTGTCGAGTTACGGCCTCATTTCAATGTGGATTCAAATGATATTTTCTGTCAAAGTCACCCACACAATGCACCTTAATCTCAAAGAGCAAAAGCTTTATTAGAAAATTAAAAAAGTTGTTGTACGCTCATTTGAAATTACCTGAACCGATCTCACATCTATACTGACAGAAGTCCGAAACAAATCAGAAAATGTTAAAAACATTTAATTTAAAATGTTAAATACAGGCTGCTTCCAGTCCGACGTCCTCATTGTTTTTAAACAACCTCTCAGGTTTTAAAACTATCTGTTGTATTAGGCTTGATTTACTTCACAGTTTTCTATCGTCTGACTCTGCTTTCCCCCCGATGCGTTTGGATAAATTGAACTCCTGTGTTTATCGTTGGTCTTTAGGGGGAACTCTGAGGATATACGCAGACAGTCTGCGGCCCAACATCCCGTATAAGACCATCCTGCTGTCCACCCGGGACCCGGCTGACTTCGCTGTGGTGGAGGCCCTGGAGAAGTACGGGCTGGAGAAGGAGAACCCCAGAGAGTACTGCATCGCACGGGTACATGTCCACCTCCTAACCCGCCCTCTTTCACACTAAAGAGTAGGGTTGTCAAAAGTATATATACTCAAAGAAATATCAATACTAAAACTTTGGATCCGGATACGATACTCATTTTCAAAAGTATCCTTCTCTCTGATTATTTATTTACGTTGTTTATTATCATTAACGTGACGTTAGCCTTGAATTGCTAGCTGCGGCTAATGGCTAATATTAACACGCCAACATTAATCAAGTCAGAATACAGAATTTGCAGCCATATTTCCTGATTTTTTTTTTAAATTAGAAGTTAGAGTATTAAATTGTGATTGAACAGGATGATTTTTGTAAAATATTAGAAAATAATAGAAGGGTACCAAAACATCATTATAATAATAATTATTATTATTAACTATTATTAACTATTATTTATCATCTCATGCCACCTAAGAGGTTTAAAAAAAATCTTTTGTGTAAGATATTTTCTCTCAAAAACAGGACAATCTGATCTTGTTTTTAGACGTTTCTCATGCTTGTGAGTGGCAGGTGCTTTAACTTACAGCAGGTTGTTGTTCCCGGCTGCTCGGTGAACTGATCTGAGGCCTTTTTTTGTAATCGCAGCAGGACGACAAGTCGGGGAAGGAGGTGATTCTGGACGACGCAGAGTGTCCCCTGCAGATCTTCAGAGACTGGCCTGCTGATCGGGGTAAACAGACTTCAGCTTTTCCAGTTTCTCAGACGGGTCCTGAAAAGGAAACGGGCTGTAACAGAAGGATGAGGAACCACCTGATTGGTCTTTATGCTGTTTTAGTGTCTGCTGTCGCCCCCTTCTGCCTCATTAGAGTCATTACAACTTTGTTACTTTGGGTTTTTCTTGAGTTAACTGTTTGCTAACTGTTTGCTAGCTGTTTGCTAGCTGTTAGCTAACTGTTTGAGTGTAAAATCTAGTAGAAGAAAAACCAATGTGAACTCAGACAAACAGGTAAAACAAGACGCTCTGCCTTATCTTTTAATACTTTTGTGTGTCAGGAGCGTTGGTGTTCCAGCTGAAGAAGAGGCCTCCCGACTACCAGGGGAGGAAAGGAAGGAAGGTGGAGGAGAAGGGCCTCCGAGGGAAGGACGGCTCGCTGCCGCCTGAGAAACTGCCTTACTTAGTGGAGCTCAGTCCAGGTAGAAGCACAGCCAAACACGGCATATTAGCTCAGCCAACGCTGTAGCGGCACACTTTGACCACTAGGGGGCAGCGTCACCTCACTAAATCACACTTAGTTTCAGCCTAAAGCGAGTCTGGTTCTCTCCTCTGTGGAGGTGAGTGAATCACAAGGGATCTGTTATCAGTAGCAGCTGTCCCTATAACTTCACACGCGTTTTGGTTTCTTGGTTTGTAAAAAATGCCTGCAGGGGGTAAACAGTTAGCTACTACTTTCATTCAGCACACGGACCACCGCTAAGATCAGCAGCTTTGCTTAAAAAAACTACCAAAGCAGATGTTTTTCATTGAAAGAAGCTAGAAAAAAGTAAGCTTGCCTAAAGCGAAAGCTGAGTCACTTTTTAAAACTACCTTCACTTACCTAAGACACATTTGTGAGGGATTAAAAAGCTGTTCATTTCTATTTAGGTGAAATACAGCAAGGCCAATGTGGAAAAGACGTTATAAAAGTGTTATGGAAAGGTGAAATCCACCTTTGGTGTGTCTTTCTCATAAAATCCGAGGATTTATTTAAGTTAAAACAGCTTCAAACTCTTTAATCAGGGGCATGTACCTGCACATAAGCTTGTTTTGTGCGTTTTTAAATGCATTATTATCAAAACAAAAGGAGCATTTTTCCAATCAGGTAAGTTTTGAGTGAAAAACAGATCCTGGAATGCAGTTTTAGGGCGTTTTGGGGAAACCCTCCCGAGCCTTGTGCGATGCAACATGTCTTGCCCTAACAAGCTTGATTCTTGCCGCTGATCCCTCACTTTATAATCTGCCCCATTTCTTTTGTGTCGCATCCCGTCATGTCACTAACTTATCCGGCCTGGTGGGCCCGATCCAGGAATATACTAACACATCTACCTCACGCCCACTTAGAGGTCGAGGGCTCAGTCTCGATGGGGAAAGTCGAAGGTGGAAACTTGATTTGGTGGCTCTGCTGGGGAATGGATGCTAAGCTTGTGTGTGTGTGTGTTTAGGTGTTTCTTTTTCTTCTTTTATCCTCAATAAGATCAAATTAAGCACAGTAGCTAGTGCTGTTAGTGGAGTGCTCTCGTCCACATAGCTGGTTTGAGTCATCTCTGCCCAGTTGGATGATTTTGGCTCCGTCAGAGAGGGTGGAGTGTGTGCTCATATTTGATTAGATTTAGGTTTTGGGAGGCTTTATGGTCCTCATCACCTCCAATCTGTCTTACGATATTATCCCCTCCTCAGATAATGAGCAGAGACCTGTTTCCCCAGGCGCTCGGTATCTGCTTCATAGCCAAAATCAAATGAGTTATTGAGCCCTTTAAAGTTCCCCTCCTGTCATCCCTGAGGGAAACCTCGCCTTTGAGGCAGAACCGGCCAAACCGAACCCACTTTGGCGACACTATCGGCACATTTTCACTGACTTTAGAGTATTTCCTTCTCTTATAACAGCCCGTCTCCGGCTTAAAACGCTCATTTTTCATCTTAAACTCTTAGAAAAAGAGTTTTTTTTAGGAAAACGTGGCCAGAGATTTGCTGATAATGAGTCGCCAGCTCAAAAAAAGCCTCTCGGCCGGCTGGTTTTCCTTATTTCACACGTTGTTCAGACCCAGCTGGGACCTCAGAGAGCTGCTCATTTTTTAAACTATGTAGAAAAGATTGATTGTGTAGAAATACTCGTGTTTGTGTGTGTGTGTGTGTGTGTGTGTGTGTGTGTGTGCGCGCAAGCTTTGATGGGGTTAACAAGGCAAAACGGCATTTTCCTCCGAGCTGCATTTTCACCCTCTGCTATGTGTCTGTTTCTTTCCCACTTTCCTGTGGCATGGGGTGGTTGTGTGTCTGTGTGTGGGGCCCGTGCATGTGTCCTCCTGCCTCCACCCGCCTGCCTGTGCGCCGTCTGTAGGGCGAGGGAATCACTATGCCTACTACGCCTATCGGCACCCGGAAGGTAAAGACGCACCGCACCTCCTCCGTCTGTGGCTGTGGCTGCTGGTTCCAAGCGTCTCCCTTTTTAGTCCAACACCCCCCCCACCCTCCAACCCCCCAAAATAAGGCACATGACCATAAAACCCTGATCTGAGAAACCAACATAGCAGCTATCTGAACCCTTTGTGGGTCAGATATGGCCAAATTGTTCCAGATTGACCACTAAGACATAACGATGAGCTCTAAGTTGTTCATTTGAAATATAATTTGAAATATAAAAAAAAAACTTAAATGAGATTTAAAGGTAGAGAAGTACTTTCAGATGTATTCTGTTATAGTTTGGCTGGATTTGGGGTGTTTAAACAGCCAGTTAATTTGCTTAATAAACCAGAGAAAAGGCTTCAAAGCCCCCGAACCCTGAAGTATAAAACTTTCCACACTGATAAACTGAAGAGGAATCACACAGCTCATTATTGGAGGTAGAGAGGAATATTACCGTTCATTTATAAGTCCAGGAGGAAATTCAAGATGATTCAGCCTTATTCTGCTGGTATGATGTTCTAAAATCGTTTCCACACATGGCCCGTCAAAAAAAAAAAAAAAAAAGCGCAGCAAACAGTTAGTCTCTCATTGGATAATTACTGCCTGTATCATTCAGTTTCAGTCTTAAAGAAGTTATTTGTAGTATATCGTTCCTTCAACAGCCATCCTGTTGTCATGGAAACCTGTCCCAAAGGTTAAATGATCAGAATCAGAATCAGAAATACTTTAATAATCCCAGTGGGAAAACTCCTAAAATTGGGACTAAATAGCTGTGTAGCTTTAAGAAAACCACTTAAATATGTAAAAAAAAAAAGGGAGAATCTGAGGGATGTGGCTTTGGTTTTGGTCCCATTCCTTCTTCACTTCAAGGATATTCAGAGAATTAAATGCATGAAATTTTGCATAAAAAAAAAAGGCGTGACTCAGGAGAAGCTGATCGGACTGAAATTGTTCTAAAGCTGGAGTCTGACTCTTTGCCGTGGGACCTTTTTTTGGGCGGGCCGTGTGTCTTCGTTAGGGTCAGTTTGCAGTAGGCAGCCATGTTTTAACAGGGTCTTTTGCAGTAGGCAGCCATGTTTTAACCCTTTCCCCTCTCTGAGCCGCTCTGCTTCTCTAAACCCGCTTACTAACGGCCAGTAACCCGCAGCCTCACCAGCTCCCGCACTGCACACGGCTTCACATAAACGTTGGATTCTGTGAAACGAGTCGTTTGCGTGTTGGAAAACGGGAGTTCTGCTAACTCCAAAACCCCTGTGTGTGTGAACTCCAGACGGGTCCGACTCGCGGGACAAACCAAAGCTGTACCGGCTCCAGCTCAGCATCACCGAGGTGGGCTCGGACTGCACGGAGGACGGGGCCATCCAGGTACCAAACCCCCCCCCTTTCTTAAATGTTTTCAAAAAAGGGCCCCACAAATTTTCCAATGTAACAAGAGACTGTTTAAGTGAGTACCTGATCTTTTCGAGTTTTAGACAAGACATGATATCTTGCAGCCACTGTGAATGGGATGGGGGGGAGGCATCTTTCCATCTGAGCAAGATTGCACGACATGCCAAAAGTAAAGCAAAGGCTATAGGATATTTTTAGCAGCACTTGAAACGGCTCCGCCCTCAAGGACCCCAAATAGGGCTGCAACTGGATTTGGTTCCAATTTGGTCTTAAATGTGCAAGATAATGTATTAAAGACTGCCTTCCAGTAGTTGCTTAATTGAGGACATGAGAAGAACATGTGGTAAAGAGAAGCCTCTGTAAGATTACATCTGATGCACACAGAGGGCTGACCTGGTGTTTTTTTGGAGTCTGAGTGGCTTCTGGGTGGAGTCTGACCGGTGTCTGTGGTCTGCCCCCAGCTGCTGGGCCCGGGGATCCTGCCCCACCACTGCAACCTGACGCACAGCGAGGGCCTGGTCACCGTGACGCCGCACGGCCCCGACGCCGACACCTTCGTGGACGGGCAGCGCGTCACCGAGACAACGGTGCTGCGCTCCGGCGCCACCCTGCAGTTTGGCTCCGCCCACGTCTTCAAGTTCGTCGACCCCATGTACGACCAGGGGGGCAAGAGGGAGCCGGCCATGATGAGGAGCCGACACAAGTCCGGGTGAGCATCTATTAGTCATATTATACCCTATTTCAACAAGTTAAGCTAGTTCCCTGGTGTCCTAATGTAATGTCTGTGACAAGCTTTGGTCAAAATCCCATAAGGATGAAGCCCAATAGCAGTTCAGTCCCCCTGCCTAACCCTAACCCTAACCCTAACCCTAACCCAAAACAGCCCCGTTCAGAGCGCTCGCTTTGGAGTGCCTGTCTCTTTAAATGCAAATGAGACACAGGCAATCCACCCACTTCTTCAGGGAGGTGTGCCCACGTCGGCACGCTAGCGCTACCATGCTAACGCTACTATGCTAACGCTCACGCTAACATGACGTCTGCCACAGATAGGGGAGTAAGCTGAGGGGGGGGGCAACATGCAGGTGAAAGGCTGGAATATTATAATGAGCTAGAGCTAATGACGTCAGAAACTACCCACTCCTGAAACCTCCTGATTTATCTCCTGGATTCAGACTGAGGCGGCCCACAAAAACATGACTGAGTCGTTTTTTTTCACACTTTCCCTGCTGATAGGCCCTCCACAGTCCCAAATGCACACAATCAAATGATTTAAAAACTTGGTTTAGCATAATATGTCCCCTTTAAAAACCAACGGGGAGGAGAAGATGAGGTCTGGGAAAGATGTGGAGGAGGAAGAGGGGCGTGGAGCGAGTGAGGAGAGGAAGAGTGGAGGTGTGGGCGGGTGGCGGGCGGCCGCCCTCTAATCGGATCATTATGCCGTCGGGTGTGGCCTCTCTGCCTCCACGGCTCCAGAGGAGACGAGTCGTGAGAAAAGCCCGCCGTCAGTGAGGGATAAGAAATGATCGTTTTGGCTCTTTAATGTCTTCCAGCAGGAGAAAAACGGGCAGGAAAAACCAAACAGGGTGTAAGTAAACGTCTATAGTGCGATTTTTTTCTCTTATTTAAAGCTCCCGGTCTGTTTTGGAGCCGCCTGGTTTTTCCCGGTTGAGCACTTGCCTCTGTGTGTTTTTAAGTTGAGCTCCTGGAGGTTTAAAGCTTCCTTCAGGCTTTGTTTACATTCCAGAAACTCCTGTCAGGTGATTCTGATTAGCTCCAGGAGCTGGAGGGCCGGGTTCTCGTCCCGCCGAACGCCGTTTTCTTTCCCTTTTGATATCGGGCCGTATTGGATCGGTGGATTGGTTTTATATTTAGCCACGGGCTTCCCACACAGTTTTCCAGGGCTGGAGGAAACCCGGCTGACGCCCTGCCTGACGCTGGTGCTTTGCCCCATAAGCAAATAACAGGTTGTTCAAACAGTCCCTTAAAAGGACCTCTCAGAGTTGTTATTTCTTTGTTTGAACATATTTGCCTACTTTCTGTACTGAACGGGTCAGAGAGCTTCAATCTAATGCAAACTTGTTTTTTTTTTGTAGATGTTTCTGACAAACGTAAGAGCGCTGCTTTGGCTTTTCAGATATGTTTTACATTTGTGGGTTGTTTGGCCTGTAAACACAGGGTGGGACAGAGGAGGGTAAATTAAAGGGGCGGGGCCTGAGTTAGGGACTTGATTGGTGTTTTTTTTAAAACCATAAATGTGAAAAAAAAAAAAATTTTTTGAACAGTGTTTTTTAAATTAATTTTCAATAAGTATACAAAAACACGTTGACACCATTTGCACAGTGAAGAGCAGGCAAACCTCTCTGCATTCACACAGACATAAAACAATAACAATGATTAAAATTACAAATAATGATATAGATGTGAAATATCTGATGTTTTTATCCCATTTTGTATCAAAATCTCTTTACTTAGTTTTATTTTCCCCTTGGAATGAATCTTTCAGGAAATTCTGAAATTCTCTCATTTATATGATAGTTTTCATTTCATCGTTGCATGGAGGGTCGGCTGGAGGGTCGGCCCATTTATGGCCCCTAGAATAATTATAAAAGAGCAACTGATCGATGGAGATCTTAGGAAAAATTGGACATAAACCGGGGCAGTCACCTGTGCAGAGGCATCTGTGCTTGTTTACTGGGACGAATAGAAATGGCCGTTAACTTAGTCCTTTTAACCTGCTAAAAAGCAGGAAATGAGGCGTCTCTGGGCTCTGAGTGACCGCATGGGCGGGCTGTTAGTGGCTGAACCCACTCGGTCTGCTGGTGGCTGTGTGTGGATGGAGGGTCGATGGAGGGAAAACCCTCTCTGTATTTGTCTTTATTTCCCATCGACGTCCGGCTGTCTGGCAGCGGGTTTTAACAGCAGACCTCTGAGAGTCAGACACAGTCCTCCGTCCTCCGTCTAATTACGCCGTTACGCAACCGGAGCGAGCGCGTGCGTGCGTGTCCTCTCCAGTAATTAAAACCGGCCTCGTTTTTTTTAAAACCGCCCAACGTCTGTTTTTCCCCCGCAGCAGCGTGCCAGAAACAACCTTCGACCTCCACGGAGACGTCCACAGCGGAGCCGCTCTGCCCACCAGCAAGGTAACCGGTGATGATGTCATCAACAGGTGCTGCCCCGCCCTTTACGGGGGGTTAGGGCTGTTTGTGTCTTTATCGTGGCTTTATTACGTTTTTCTTCAATGTTTTTGGTCTGTAGTAGAAGGACTGGACAGATGGGGTTCAGTTCCTGGCGTTTAGTTTGTTTATTTTATTTGGAAATACTTTAAAAACGTATTTTATAATCCATAAAATATGTTGTATTAGAGTAGATGTACACATTAGATTTAGTTCCCGTTACTGGACTCAAAATCAGATCAAACCCAGTAAATCTGGAACATTAAGATACCAGAAAAATCCCTTAGAACCTGATAAAACAGGATTTTTTACTACCCAGTTGGAAAAACAAGACTCATCTTATTTGTTAGAATTCTAAGTTAATAAAAACTAATCTATAAAACAGTTTTATGAAGGTAGCTTCAGATTGTTTAAGCTGGTGTTTAGTTCCTGTTACTGAGCTATTTGAATACCTACAAATATTTAAATGGGTGTATTTTTCTAATTTGGGGGCTTTTTTCTTTGTCCAGATGTAAAATTTGGGATTTTTATACCAAAAGTTTGAAAGAATGTGACTTTTTAAAATTTGTTTTAACTTTTAAGTTAATAATACAAACTTTAAAACCTCTATATTCCTTAAAATGACATTTGTAATTGTAACACTATAGATTGTTATAATTCTAAATGTATGTGCAGAAATTAAATGTTTATCAATGCAAGCAAACCAGATACAACACCTGTGTTAGATTTAGTCTGATACAAACAAGCAAAAGAGCAGACTTTTACTACATATCGTTGCAGATTGACTGAAAATATGGTCAATAAATCAATTGAGCATCTGTGCTTGTTTACTGGGACGAATAGAAATGGCCGTTCGATCTGTGGCGGCGGCTGAGCTCCAGCCGGCTCGTTTTTCTGCTCAAATCGGTGCAAAAGTTTGAGCAGAACGTGTGTGTGTTTGTGTGTGTGTGTGTGTAAAGATTGTGTGTTTCTCTGGGCATGACAATTCACCTAGACATGAAATAACTTTGTGAAAGGTTTATAGTACTCATAAATAAAATAAACCAGATAATGTCCCTATATGTGACATAAAAATCAGATGTGACCAAAATGTTGCTCTAGCTAAAATCTAAAATCTTAATAGATGAATGGTTTCCTGAATGCATGGATAGGAAACTCTGGGCTTCTCAGACCTTTAGAACCTTTGGAAAGGCACGTCCCCATTTGTCCTAATTTTTATTCTTTTATTTTTAACTTTTAACCTTTATTTAACCATGAAGTCCCATTGAGATTCGGAATCTCTTTTTCAAGAGAGACCTGGCCAAGGTAGCAGCCAAACCACAGGAAATTCATACATATTACATTTTACATAATAAAATCAGAGCAATATGTTAAAACACATCGAGCATCTCAAGAAAGACAAGCACATATCTCCATCACTACACTCTTCATGGTTGCTTTAAATTCATTAATGGACACTAGAGTTTCTAATATATAATCAAAACACGTATATATGTGTGTGTGTGTTGCAGAGCTCAGGGAAGCTGGAGATGGAGCGAGGCATGGTCAAACCCATGATCAGAGGGGAGCAGCAGGACAGCAGGTAACCCCCCCCCCTTCACCCCCCCCCCCCACCCCGCCCCCCTGCCCACCTCTCACACCGTTGTTTTTCTCCCTCCAGGTCTCAGGACGCGGCGGCGGAGAGGTCGGAGCTCACGCTTCCCGCCAGCATCGAGTTCAGAGACAACTGTGAGTGTGGTCGATGGCTGGAAACTATCGGAGCTCCAGTCTGACCCCACCGGGGAGTCTGAAAGCTTTAATTTGGCCTTTTTCCATCATATTCAGCCCTCGTTTGGGGAGTCTGTCGATTCGGATTAAATCCTTCGCAAGACGGTCAAATTAGGACGCAGATGGGGAGGGTTTTTACTGTCGCACGGCAGGAAGAAGAGAAAAAATACTTCAGAGTTTCCAGTTTCCAAAACGGAATCTTGTTTTTCTTAATTGTGTTGAATGAATAGGGACTAATTTTTCCTTAATATTTTCCTTAATGTGCCTCCGACCATCAGAGCAGCTTTCATTTAAACAAAGACTTAATTCCGCTGTTATGAAAAGGAAATGTCTATTAAAAGTAAAATGGATAGGAAAAAGACATGATGAAAACAATTTAATGTAAAGAATTAGATTGAGATAAAAATTTGAATTAAATCAAAAGAAAAAATCAAGTAAACCCATAATGATGTGCAGAAAACTAATATGTATAGCTTATTGTCATAGTGATGATAAATGTAATATTGTGTCTACTCTGTAAGTCGCTTTGGATAAAAGCGTCTGCCAAATGCATAAACAAAATAAATTAAATATTTCAAGTAAAAATAATAATGATAAAAATAAAAGATCATAATAAAGGGAAGAAAAAGCCAAAATAAAGAAAATTACAGCCGAAAAGTACATTAATTTCGTACTCTGTATGAAATGAATCATTGACATTATTGAGTTCATTAACATTTACTATCATGTTTATGTGTTTAGTTTTGGTTTCTGAGTCCCGGGCTCCGTTTCTGTCTCTGGTTTGACGTCGGGGCTCTTTTGTTTTTGTTTCTCCCTCCAGCTGAAGACACTTTCCTGTCGGCCATCATCAACTACACCAACAGCTCCACGGTCCACTTCAAGCTGTCGCCCACCTACGTTCTGTACATGGCGTGCCGATTCGTGCTTTCTCCGGCCTACCGGCCCGATATGTCTCCCTCAGAGCGAACGCACAAAGTCATCGCCATCGTCAACAAGATGGTGAGCATGATGGAAGGAGTCATCCAGGTCAGTACCACTTTTATTGGTTCGGTTTCTCTGTGTTGAGTCTTTTGTTTAGAGCAGTGTTTTTCAACCGTTTTTGAGCCAATGTACAGTTTTTCCATTGAAATAATCTCGAGGCACACCACCAACCAAAAATGTTAAACAAATCTGTAGCCGCCTATAGTAACACTATAGTTATTCTTATTTTATTTTATCTTATCTTATCTTAAGTGTCTTGAATAGGAATCAAATAAACACAAAACATTTTTTTTTTCATATTTTATATTTCTTCTTTCAAATTGCTCTTAACAAGTCCACTTCAATATGCAAAATTAAATAAAAAATCTAGTCATAAGGAATTATTACATGATTACGCCACCAGTCACTACTACAGCACAGACACTCAAAAATGGCACATTATTTGCAGAAAATTAATTCCTTATCAAAAAGTCTTTTTAGACCAATTAGGTGAAATAGGATGATTTTCTACGGCACACCTGACCATCACTCACGGCACACTAGTGTACCGAGGCACAGTGGTTGAAAAACACTGGTTTAGAGTTCAGACGGCCTCTTACAAACGACAGTTTCTGGGGTTTGTAAGCGCTCCTCCAGGGTCGCCTCCTCCGTGTTCCTCTGTGTTTTGTTTTCGCTACCCATCGATGTTAAATGTTTGTGAATGTTGTGAACTGAGCTGCTCCCAGAGGCACTTAAAGCCGGTTGAGTTTCGCTCGGTGGCGCTGACTCCTGTTTGTTTAGCTCACGCTGAGCTTCTGCCTGCCTTCGGAAAACCCTAAAACACACAAACACACAGTGTGTGTGTAGGATCTCACTTTTAGAATTCAGGGAATATCTTTAGCTGCTGGAACATGAAGAAATCTGAGTTTTTTGCTTTAGATTTTCTCCAAAACCCAAACTTTTAGGTAATTTAACCCAAATTTTGTTAAAATAAATTAAAGTTGCTGTTACAGGAAAAAGGACAGCACTCATTAGGATGCAAACATCTTCATCCTGAACGACATCAGCTCACCTTAGTGATGCTTTAATTCAGCCATTATGGACCCCAAACTCTCAGTTAACTGTAGAATAAACCCAGTTAGATGAGAGAAGAATAGTTTAAACGAGGTGGCGGTAATCCACCTAAAGGGCGTTAACTCACAATATCTTTATTTATCTGTTTGGGGTCTTAACATGAGCGGGAAACTCCACATAAGCAGGAGCTCTTTGGTTTATTCATTTAATTTGATATCTGCAGGATAAAAAATAAAATAATAATTTGAGATCTGCATCAAGCCGCCTTCTGATTGGTCCTTTTCAAAGCGTGACCCCGCTTTTTATTTTTTATTTTTTAACAAAATTTGTATTATTTTTTCAGAAATAATACAGTGTGGTACGAATGTACATATATATTTTTACATTTTTAAACATAAAAAACAGCAAACACCACCACAGGGTGATTACAAGAGTGTGAGAAAAAACCAAACAAAAAAAAACAACAACCTTATTGCATAATTACTGGAACGACAGGCCTCCAACGTTTATTGAATATGGGTGTTTGTAGTCTCAGGGAGTATGTTATATATTCCATCTGGTATATGTCCCAGACCTTCTGGGTCCATATATTATAGCAGGGAGGCTCAGGTTGGAGCCATCTGATAGTGATGCTTTCCAGCTGTTTTCGTTCCCAGATGTGGTTTTCAGCTCAGCGCCACCAGCTCGTTAACCTGTCGGGGAGCCGTTTGTCTGTGTTTGTTCACATAGCCGTGTCCATACTGTAGCTGTTGACGTGTTTTCTCTCTGTCCTGTAAACGTCTCCTCCTCCTCCTCCTCCTCCTCCTCCTTTTCCTCTTCCTTCCATCCAGGAGATTCCTGAAGGGGATCAGGTAGGATAGCACAAAGCACACCATGATACGGCTGCTAAAGACTCCTCTACCTCTCTCTCTCCATCTTTCTAACTCTTCAGGGTGGGCGATGTGAGTAGAGATAATCACGCTTTGTGGCAGACCTCCAAAACTCGACATTTTTCTATTTAATTTTCTTTTTCTCACGAGCAGCAGGCGACAACGTACTTAATGAGCTCAGAAAAACCTAGATTATTATAGTTTTTGGCAGTTCAGGGACTCGTAAGCTTTGTTTTGTGTTTGTATTTCACAGTAATTGGGAAAGACAAGGTTAGTTTTGGAAAGACTGCTGCATATTTTACTTGTAAACAGGCCAACTTTAAATTACAGTGCAACAGTGTTGTGTGTAAAAGTGGTTTTCCGCAAATTTTTTAGCCTAAAATACCAAAATGAGCACAAACGTGCTGTAGACGGGTACTGGTTCTTCCCTTATTTTAAGTAAATGGGATGAATATAAATAAAAACATCAGGAAAGGACTGAAAGAAGTCAGAAAAAAGTCAAAAGACTTTTACTTTTATAACCAAAATGGAACAAAAAATCAAATATAAAAACTGAGGAAGCTCCTCATTAAGCCCCAGTTTCAAAGAGGAGGCTGAAAAGTTTGGATTCATTTAAATAAGTCTTAAAATGAAGTGTAGAAATTATTTAGAAACATCTTATTTTGCCTTTGTGCAGCCTAAAGACTTTAAATTATTTCACTGGGAGGAAATCTTCAGCAGGAAAATTGATCGAATTAGCCAGATTCAGCCTCTTTTTCATGGTAGAATCAGCCATTTCAGGCCTCCCAGCAGGAGTTAAAGGGTCAATTTCACCTTTAATTCTTCACATATCAGCTAGTTACACATTTTCTGCTCCTCGTATTTTGTATAATCAGCTCTTTTTTCTCCATTCTTCTTGGATTCTGTCCATCTTATGGTAAAATATTGAGTTTGGCCTGTAAAAAGTGGAGTGAGACTTCGGCCTTTAGCCGTTTTGAGGATGTAAAATCACATAATCACATCGCCCAGACCTCTCCCTGTTTCTCTCTTCTCGCCTCTCAGTGCTTTTTTTTTGGTTTTCTTTTTCGACCAGCCCGTTATTGTTGCTGCTGCTTCTTTTCCTCCGAACCTAACAGAAATGTGAAACCAAGCCGTAACCACGCGTCCTGCCCACAGCTGGAAAACTAAGCAAACAACAGCAAACATCAACCTGACTAATTCCATTCAGCTTCCCGGACCCGCCTGGTACTAAAAAACACCCCCCCCCCCCCCCCCCCCCCCCCCCCCCCCCCCCACCACAAAAAAACCCCCCCCCCCCCCCCCAAAAAAAAAACCCAAACCAGCACCAAAAAAAGCAGCCCGTCTCCTCCCGCCTCTAATTCTCTCCTCGGTTGCCGTGACGACCCGTCTCGCTTCTCCTCCTCGGCGGTGTGGATGAGAGACGATTCGCCTCCCTCTGACCTTTGACCTCTGCTTTCATTCGTCTGGTTCGGTTTAACGTGTCCGAACTTCCATCCGTGTGCCAAACCGAATGTTTTGTTTTTGGATGCGCTCGGCTCCATTTCTCACTCTGTGGCTGTTCCGAATGAACAGGGTTTTTTTTTTTTTTTTTTTTTTCTTCCTCCTCCTTCCTTTGTGTGTGATTTGTGTTTATTATTTTTTTTCCAAGGCGGGGATAGATGAGTCTCCTTCCCCCTCTGAGCTGTGGGATCGCTGGCCAATC